TTTTATTATAGCACCCTACATCACCAACAAATTTCCTGTCAGCTCACGGCCATTGTTCTAAACTGAAGATTTTGGGGTTGTGGACAAAACAAGACGTTTGAGGACGTAACAATGGGCTTTCTGAAATAGCCAGTCAGTCAGTTCTACCCTAAACCAGGAAGAAAGCCTCATTTGACAAATGTAGGGCAAGCTCTAAAATATTGTAATCTTTTTTATATTTTCCTGTATATTTAGGTTCATATAATAAATAATAATAGCTAATAGTAAAGCACTTGTCTATGAGTGCATTTATTTGCGCATAACAATTTTGTCTAATAAACACAATTCTGTCCATCCCTGCTGTGTCCATCAGTGGGGCGCCATGGGGATGCACTCATTGCACATTAAGCACTGGGAATGTTCATAATTGTCATGAGATGCAACCTGGGTCTGGTCTGTTTAACACAAACCATTTCCTGTTCACAGGCATTTTTATTGTTCCTCGGTGGAGAGCAATTAAAATAACAATGCAGTGTTGAACATTTTTTTTAGTTTCTTTGTTGTCCATAGCTAAATATTCTCTGAATGAACTGAAATGTATTGATAGTATATTTTTGCACATAGGTGGGTGCATTTACATGAGAAAAAGTAACCTCAATAACGTTCCACTGAAAAACAGGGCTCCCCTGAAAGCCACAGTGTAATTTGAACACTATCTTAAACAATCCTGTTTTAGACGCATGTTACTGAAGTTTTCTTTAAAGCTGCTACATGTTGTCTTTTCTCACTTTTAGGATACTGTTAGTTGCTGTATGCCATTGTAGACGGTACTATTGTCAGATGACTTTGTTGCTAATTGGGTACAGTGACCTGAAAAGTCAGCTTTGCAGTCATACAAGAGAAATGATTCCTTTGATCAACACCAGTTCCTGAAATGCTAATGAGTAATGTAATCATGTATGTATACTGATGTATATCTGTGTATGTATTGTAGAATAATTCATACAAACAGTAACCTAGATATTGTATGTCCTATGAGGAGAAGCCAAGGATGTTGGCATCACGTGTAGCATGTTATAGCAACGTATAGTAAGAGTCACATGCTCATGGCCTGATTCTTTTCTCTCCAGGGACATGGTTGTAGCTAGCACTCACTACCCTGCGCGCACACACACACACACACACACACACACACACACACACACTTACATACATACATACATACAGACTTGTGATGGCCAAGCACACAGATATACAATATACAAACACATACACACCGTGCATGCTACACATAGAAACATACTCAGTCACACAGATGCACAGTACAGACTCCATGTACAGAGAAACACATATGTACTCACATGCACACGCACACAAGCCTGCCAAGGGACGCTAATGAAGATAAATGTAGGTAATTAAACATGACAGTGAAGAACGATGGGTGGCCACGTTATATGACGTTATGGGGTCGGTTTGGACCTATAGACATAGGACTTTGGCCAACAAGGGATACTGAGAGGGAGAGAGGAGGGGATGGATCAAAATATATCAAGACATAGATGGGTAGAATATATCTGAGATTCATTGCAGCTCTCCTGGTGTTTAGGTTCCCCTGAAGTATTTATTCTTTCTATCCACACACACATAGACTGGTGGCCTAGATATATGAAGTGGGTGATTCCTGCAGGTACAGCACATCTTGGCTGACTCCAAACTGTCTAAAATGTGGGGGGAAATCCAGCAACACACACGCATACATTCATTCATGTATTTAGTTACCTTTCTGTTTGTATTATGTTTCTCTCTCTGTTAGTCTGGTGCAACTTTAAAGACGGTCAATCAATATTTTTAAATGAGCGAAGGATCAATATGTATAATGTGGAAAGAGTCACCTGGAGTGACAAAACCACAGAGCATTAACTTCCTCTGCAGTTCCCACAGCTCTACAGAGCTCATTGTTTTGTATTTCTGGCCCATAAATTTACTGTTTTGGTTCAGTCTCACAGCGCTCATCTGCAAGTAGCTGTTTTCATTGAATAAGTTCTGTTTTTATACATCCATGACAGAGACAGAGTAGAGGAGAGAGACGGAGACAGTGATGTAACCTGGTCGCTATGTTTTGATAGAGTCCTGATGTCACACCTTGCGTGCTGCCCAAAGGTTGATGCCCAGAAATGTTGTGAACACAGCAAAACAGTACAAAAATAAAAAACTAGAGGCAGAAGGTCAGGGTCACAGTAGGTTGTAAGTGATGACTGATTTCGTGGAAGTTATACCTGAAACCCGACTTGTCCAACAGACATTGCAAAACTCATGACCCACATGGCAAAAACATACACCAAAAACAGATCTTTTGATAGACAGTGCTAGTGTTCATCATAAACCTTTTCCATTGGAGGAGGGAAAATACTAAATTCTAATTACTGTGCATCAGTACGCCTTGTAGCACTTCACGGCAGATATGAATATGAAAATCTGAATTTGACTTTGAAATGAATTATTATTGACATGCAAATTAGCAATTTTTGGCTGTTCACATGGTCGTGATCACACTCCTTTCTACGAGGTGGAACTGCTACATTACAGAGTCTGTGGCAGTGTGTGTTCACCTGTGTGACTGACGGTGTTGCACAGCACATCTGATAGCATGTGCTTGTAGTTTGATTAGTCATTGTTGTGTGTGCCTGTGCATGTGCGTGAGTTACCCGGTGTTATGTCACGCACCTCCCTGAGTCCTATCTGTTACGTCACGTCACCATAGTAACATCGGCAGTGGTGATGCATTCTGCTTCACTGGACCACCAGCCACATCAAATACTCACCACCACTCTGTTTGTGTTTGTGTGTCTGCACGCATCTCACAAAGGTGAGTGTGTGTTTACATTCACTGTGTGTTTTTTTTTTGTGTGTGTGTGTGTGTGTGTGTGTGTGTGTGTGAGAGAGAGAGAGAGAGGTCTAATGGTGCACAGACTCAAGTTATTAAGTAATAACAAGAGATGTTGAGTGTGTTTCAAGCTGTAAAGTTGTTCACTGTCTTCTGCTAATGTCACACACACACACACACACACACACACACACACGCTCTAGGGAAGAGCATACAGTAAGAGGGCAAAAGGCGTCACAGCTGTATAGAAGCTTTGGCAATGATGCAGCTTGGCAGATTTCAGCCTTCAGTTCTCTTTGTGGAACTATACACACTGTAAGCAAGTGTCACTGTGCAGCTGTGCATTGTGTTTGAATATGAAATGTAAATTTCTTTTGCAGCTGATATTGAAGGCTCTGTATCTTATAATTATCTGATTGTATGAAGTCGTGCAGATGGTTTCAGTTTTACATTGTTCAGGTTTTGAGGAGGGTTTCCACAGCATATCAGCATTGACAAATATTTTTAGTAAATAATAATGGATCATTTAAAAGCCACATCCCTCTGCAGTGTTCTTCTAATAAGAGTGGGGATTTTGGATAAAATCTTCCATCACCATACATTCAAATTGTGATACCAATATATTTCATAATAAAGTACATTGTCTGGAAAAGAAATCACTGGAAACGTTGTATTTTGGGCTAATCCAGCAAATGAAATACATCATCTTCATTGATGCGAAAAATCCAATAACAACGTAAAGCAGACCAAAACTGAGCACAAGAGTAATGTGTCAGGGGGGCAATTTGGTCTATAAGCAGCAGTGAAATTAATTATAGATTAAAAAAGAAAATAATAAAACAGAAATAAATAGACAATACTACAGGTTAAAGGTTCCCTGTGGAGTTTTTGACCTCTAGGGTGGATGGGTATTTTGTGTGAGTCAGTCCCTGTTTTGGACACGTCCATGCGGTGACGTTATACACAGTCCTGCTCATGGTTCCACACTGTTCCACTGACCGACAGCTGTCAGTAACACACCAAAGCAAAAATGCAGAAATGCATTAGCATTAAAGATGATTTTTCTTTTAGGTTCCAATCAAATTCCCCTGTATTATGTTGTAGTGAAGACAGAAATCTTGAATAGGTCAAAATAAATAAATAAAGCCAAAACATGGCTAAATATATGCAAGCACGCCATGCAAGATATGTTTTCAGGAAAGGTGGTTAGACAACACTGCCTTCAATGTAAAACAGGGCTTACAAAAATACAACAAAATATTTATTATAGTATAAACATAATATTTTGGTGTTACTGAGGTGATAACACATTTTCAGATTTCAGATAGATTCACATCTTCTTTGCATTACACCTGCAATGGAGAGTAGTTGGTGTTATTAGCGAGACATAATGCTGCCATACTACAGCAGCTATAGTCATCACTCTGGAGCACCCTGTTCCAGCTCACTGCCTGTCTGTTCTTCCATCACTCTGTGACATAGCTGCTTGCAAAAACGCTGAAAACGTTTCATATTTCTGCGTTTTGATAAATATAGCCGAGTGCAGCGCTATTTATAGAAGCCCCGGCGTGCTCTGCACCTAAGTCAGGGCCTGTTGCATGGTGGGAGACGAGATGGGTCGGAGATGGGGCGCTTGAGGATACTGTGACCCAGATGACTGAGCTGGAATGATCTGCCCCGCGGTGCTCAGCGTGCTGCCGTACTAATGCTCCCGCAGGAACGCGGTGACACAAGATGCATGTCTCATATGCCTTGGTCTGTGGGGAGAGAGAAGGTTTGGAGTATTCAGGAATGTCAATTAACTAAGAGCTCGTGCATCACGGCCATTAGTCTGTTTGTGCATGTGAGTGCATGAGGGGGTATTTAAACCGCGCATCACAACATGCATCTATTTTGAGAATAAAAAGTCACCATTAATGTTCATCTGTTGAAATTACTAAATATATAAAGGGTCTCTGTGAAAGTGTTCTTATTTTGTTACATAAAGCCAAGTTTGTTGAATGCAACAGGGTGCATTCAGTGTCATTCACCAAGCCAACTGCCCTGGGATACAGCTTTGAGGTTGTTCTTTATAGAACCATCCTAACCATTCCACCATCTCTTTCTCTCTGTTTCGGTCTTTTTCTGAATCTCTCAGGATATCACGTTTCCAGCTCCGTGGTCGAGGAGGGGGCAAAGTGGGAGAGTCGTCACCTTCTACAAGAAGTCTACGACAACGAGTCCAAGCTGTACTCTGAACCTGAAAAAAACTGCACTGAACCAGGTAAGACTAGCTGAGATACTTGGTTAGCACAGTGTGAAAGAAAACTCGTCACCGGAGCGGGCAGAACTGCTGTGTGAGAGACTGAGCAGACCCTCCAGGATTTTGTGGGTGTTTTTTTGGGACTTGTTGCGGCCTAAAAAATGCCTAAAATGATTTTACGGCGGCTTTTTGTAAAAGTTGTGATGCATGTTGCAATGTTTTGGGCATTTTTATGCAATGAAATTGCGGAAAAAAGTGATTTTTATATTTTTTTTGTATAAGTCATTAAAAGTCAAAGGCAACTTATTCCAGTAAAAATAAAACCACACAGTTTGGAGGGGAGATGTGAGACGTTTGCATCGCACGTGTCTGCGTGGTCTGCATCTTCAGGATTGGCTGAATATACAAATAACCCCATGTGTGTCATTGCCACAAAGGAATTAATCTCAGTATCTGATAAGAACAACCAGAAGATTATTTGGCTCTCATTACTGTTAGGCTAGTGGGAGGGCACGCAAAATCTTAAAATACACACATCTGTGGTATTCCTCAGTGAAGTGTACTGGGACAACTTATTATGCAGTCAAGTACTACTTGAATGAGGAGTGGAGTGACCTACAGTCAGTGGCCAGTGATGAACATAAAGTGTACTGTATGCAGAGAGAAGTCACAATTTTAAGGATCCACATTTCTTCCAAGTGCTATTTTACAGCAAGATCTGGGGCTGCAGCAAATGATTATCTTAATTATCAATTCATTTCAGTTAATCTTTTCATTAATTAATTTTTTCATTTTTTCCCCCAATTTTTCATCTATATTATGAGAAAATAAGGAAAAATGCCCATGGAAAATTCAAAATATCATTATATTCATATTATAATTGTACTGGACACAGAAAATTTAAGATGTATAAATGTTAAAATGCTTAAAATGCAATTAATCATTGTAAGCTTGGTGTAGCCCTCAATTAATTGTAATCTGCAGTAGTTGGATATGGGGTCTGGAATAAATTAAAAATTAAAATTAAGATTTACAATTTAAGATGTGTTCGCAGCCTGGGTTGGCAATGTCGGTTGGTGTAGACTGAGATAGATGAAACAGACCTACCTAGTGCCAAAAGCGCGCCACCGACAGGTCAAAGTTTTCTGTACAACAGTTGATGAATGCTTCACAGGAATCATAAATTCTTGAAATTTTGTACAGACATTCATTGTTCTAGATGATGTATGTAAAGTGGTTTTGAGTGAAATGTCTCAATAACTATTGGATGGATTGCCATCATATCTGGCTCAGACATTTACGCCCTCTCAGGATGAATTGTAATCATTTTAGTGATTCCTAAGTCTTTTTTTCTTTATATCAGGTTTCTAGCAGAAGAAAAAAAATACCTTGACATCCCACCTCCGCTTCCCTTCACCTTCTCACACACACACACACACACACACACACACACACACACACTATCCAGTCTCCTGAGAGCTGGCTACAGAGGAGCTGATCTGAAGATGAAAAATGAACAGCACTCCCTCTGGTGAGGAGCTGGAGACAAACAGAGAGAGAGAAAGTGAGGGGGATGTTGACATTAAGATGAAAGCTGATGAAAAACACAAACTTCTCCCAGGTAGAAATCCTTGAGACTGAACGTGCCAGCGTCACTGTGTGTGTGTGTGTGTGTGTGTGTGTGTGTGTGTGTGTGTGTGTGTGTGTGTGTGTGTGTGTGTGTGTGTGTGTGTGTGTGTGTGTGAATCCCTGCTTGTCTGCTAGTCTCTTTCTCGGTGTGTACCAAAAGCTCTCATGCCGTATGTTTGTTTTCTTTGTGGGCTTGTCGGTGTGTATGTCTTTGTGTGTTTTCCCCATGGCGTGGAGTGTGCGAGTGTTTTCCATGTGGAATCCTGGGGCTTTACAAGGCTGACGTCCTGCCAAGCATTCTCTTGATCTCATTGTAAACACACCGCCCCCGTCTAATGCACACATGCACACACACTCTGGCGCACACTCACTCGTCCTGCCTGCAGTTTTGGGGATGCGAAGACGTTTCTGCAGTCTGACTGAAATTGTAGGGACGAGTTATATTTAGACAGCACATAGTTTATAGCCTGTTTCTGTTTAATTACGCTTTGTCTCCTGAAACACTAATTACCTTAATAGGGATTATTCCTGCTTTCCTTCACTAAAAGGGGCCTTCACAACATGCTCCTTACGCCTCACTCACTCTCTCTCTCTCTGTCGCTCTATTATCATCTGTTTAGCTCTCTCATCCCCCCGGAGCGCTTGCTGTCTCCTGCTTCTTCTTTGTGTTTTCCTTTCTGTCTCTATCTCTCTCTCTCTCTGGTGATTTTTTTCCTTTTTTCTTTTACAGACACAATCACAAGTTCAATTTCAAGGCGTAGAGCATTCGTGTCATGCACAAAGCCAGAACAGCACACACATGCATGGGCACACGGCGTGCACACACACTGAGGAGATGCAGATATGCCGCTGATGTGTGCACATATCCATCTAAACAAATCTTCACTCTTATGTGGAGCGTCTAAGCCTTATTGTTCTCAAACAAAGTGAAGATTTCAGGCAGAGTGGTTAATTGGATTTGTTTTATTTGTTTAACTTCCTGCAAGATTAGACTTAAAACCAAATGACGGTGTTTTGAAATAAAGAAGATAAGCCCTTGCTTGTTTCAGGATGAATTACTGGACAAACAAGTCAAATGATTTCACCCTCCTGCCAAAGGAAAAGTTTGAAGTGGAAGATTTAATAAGGTGAGACTGACAGTCTTTTCTTTTGTAAGAGAGATAAGAACTGTACTGTAGAGGAATAAAGGAGTAGGATATTTGCTGGGATGGGCTCCAGATGCCTCTGTTGGGAGAAAAAAAAGATATTGCAGTTGTTGTTGAGCTTTCACAGCAACAGTTTGGGGGAAATAGCCTAGGTCCTATTTTTAGTGGCTTTGGCTTGACAGCCCCACTGCAAGTACGCAACAATGGAGCTCTGACACGTGACGGCAAATTCCCCAAAATAACGTTGCTCCTTCTGCTGTTGGCTCAGGCCAGCTGGGGTCTATGTGCCTCCCTCAACTGAGAAAATCAATTGAACTGTTCTGAGCTGGGTTCAGCTTAACAGACATGATGTTGTTTGTGGGACATACGTGTGCGTCATAACGTATGCTGCAAAGAACAAATCATCATCAGATGAAATATAAAATATATTAAAGGTTTTTTAAGATTTAGTAGGGTAGATTGCAACTGCCTCGCTTCACCCTCCCATTTCAACCGTGAAGGAGAAACTATGATATAAAAAACTGCTCGTTCTAATGTAATGATTGCTATTTTCAGGTGATTATACACTAATGAAAACATACCTATGAATATAATATTCAAATTTCTGCCAATAGGTCCTCATAAAGGTTACACACTGGACCTTTAAGGGAACTTTAGAGTAATATTGAGTTTATTTTATGTCTCATTGTTAATTTGTTTCTTTAAAGCTGCAGTAGTTCATTTTTATAAAAATTACTTTTTTTCATATTTGCTGAAACTTTCACTATATCCCGACAGTAGAACATGAGACAGATAATCTGTGAAACAATCAGATTCCTCTGGCTCCTTGTAGTGCTCTTAATGGCATTAGCAAGAATCCACCAGGCCTGAATGAAAACAACCAATCAGAGACGTGAACAACCCAAATATCTCTGCTTTCATTGTCAGTTTAAATGCACTCAATTTTGACTCTGCCACTGCAGTAATGGTCACGGACCCAGAGAGCACAAATACGACTGTGATTAGTATATACCCTGGGTCTTCAACAGAAAATCTACAACCACTTGGGGGCTTCTCTGGAGCATGGGCTGCTAAATTGTAGCTTTTTATTTTGTTTTTTAATTTAAACATGTCTGAAAAGATTAAAGGTCCAGTGTGTAACATTTAGGTGGATGTTACACACTGGAGGGTCCCTGCTCTCTCTCTCTATTAGTTACTGAGATCCTTGGCCTGAAAAACGCTGAAGTCCCCGGTCTATACTAAAAGACAAATTTGATGAGCATTAGTTTAGAAAGCCAGTAGGGTTGCAGATAATGATTTTTTTTGGTTAGTTTTTTCTGATCACTAATAGCACAGTCTATAAAATGTAAGGCTCATGCGAAAAATGCCTGTTATAATTCCCCAGAGCCCAAGGTAGCATCTTGAGGTTCTTGTTTTTTCCGATCAACAGTCCAAACCCCAGAGATATTCAGTTTACAGTACAAACAGACAAAAGAAACAAACCTCACATCTGAGACACAGGAAGCAATGAATGTTGTTTTTGCTTGACAAATGATTCTTATGTTTCATTTTTTCTCAAAATTAGTCTTTCCATCCCGGTTAATCAGATAAAGAAAGGAGCATCAAACTAAAAACACACACCTATGAGAGAGGACATCACATAGATGCTTGCAGTATTTGACAGGTGAAGTACAGCACGAAGCACCGGCAGCACAGAGCGTCGAACAAAAACAAAATGGAAGACCTGCAGATTAGAAAATGTCACACTTAAATTAATACGTAGAGGCTTCGATATATTTCTTTTTAATTAAAGCCCGTTTGATTACCTGTACAGGTAAACAGCAGCACTGACAGCTTTGGCAAACACATCTGAGAAACAGCTGGTGTCTGAGGTTAAACTCTCTCTCACAGCAGCAGACACAGAACTGAGAAAAGTCTCCGCTAATCTGTCAGAAGAGACGTTTCTATGCATTCCTACACCAGCGACTGTCTCTCCAGCACTCTGTTTGTGCTGTAATTGGTCGGATCAATGGCACTTACTTCCTCCTCTCATCTCACCATGCACACTGTACAGACAGGATGAACGCATCCATACTCACACACACGGCAGAACAAATACGCGAGCACAGGCACGCCTGTATGTGAAGCAAAAAACTGCATTCATTTTTTTTTTGTCTTGTATGGCTGCAGTTTTTTTTTTTTGTGTCATTTTCCGTCCTTCTAAGGTCAAATACCAACACACACACACATCCAGCTATTATTAACAGT